TGCGTCCCCTCCACCCTCAGTGGCCATGGTGTCCCCTGCAGCCCCCGCGCCTGCCGGCATCTGAACCCCACCGGTCGCCCCCGTGTCCGCCAAATTTTTCGGGTGGATCGTGTGATCCCCCTTCGTCATGGCCTCCATTTCGTCGTACACGCTCCGGTCCATGACGAAGCTGAAGCCCTCCGACCGCCTGTCCTTCGATGCAAGCTTGAAGTAGTCTTTCCCACCGGAGAGGTTTTGAAACTTGTGGACCTTCTTGAATTGCTGCATCAAGTTGTCCCATTTCTTCCCGCAATCGACGACATCCCTCGTCACACCCATCGACTGCAACCTCGCCCGCACGTCCTCCCACTTCCACTCCCTCGTTTTCATGCGGGCGAAACTAGTGCCCATGCCCGCGAAATACAGATCTTGGTCCCTTCTTGCCCTCACGAGTGCGATCGTGTCTCCCACCGACCAGAAATTCCGGCCGCCCTCGCCATCGCTCCGGCCCCGGTCGTCATCCATTTTCTTGCTCCGTCGACTTTTTGCAGCGGGACCCTTCCTCGCAGTCGCTCCGCCCTTCGTCGCCCTCCTCCCCAACGGCCTAATGTCCGGCAAATCGTCGGAGTTGCAATCGTCGTCACCGTCACCGTCGTCACACCCCTGGGCCTCCTCAACAGCAGCTTCGTCCCCTTCGTCCTCGTGGAGCCGTTGCACCCCTCTTGTGATTGTCTCCGTTCCACGTTGATGCAAGGCCTGCCTGCACTCTGCCCACATCTGCCTGTCGTCACTCTTTACGTCCGCACCTTCCTCACGCAAATCCTCCGGCCGCTGCCGTGCAGAAGGAGCGCCGGATCCGCTTCGCTACGCAGGTGACAACCGCATCCACTCCGGACGTTCACGCGCACCGACTCCTCCGCCGACGGTCGACGTCGACTCATTCTGATTACCACCACGTTGACGAAGCGATTGAGGCAGACCGCCGTCTCCCGGCCCGCTGCTACCACCGTGCGTGTTGTCCGCGCAATCCACACCCGGGTGGGGATTGATGATCCGAGTGTGCGTTACCGCTGCTCCGTTGCTGCTGGACAACTGGAAGTTGAGATCAACCGCTGCATTTTCGTCGTCGTCGCACAACCCCTTGTTCAACAGTGACGTGTAAGACCACGGGGTCTCCMCCCGCCCGCCTCTGCACGGCTGCGTCGCCGCCCATTCCTGCGTCGACCCACTTCCCAACGGCAAAGTCGACGACCTGGCGTCTCCCCCCTTGTCATTCGACGGCGGCAAAGGAATCTCGTGAGAAGGCAGGTGTGCATACGACCTCAGGTCGTACGGCCGCTTCGCCACAGACCCCGCACTGTGTTGCCGATTGCTCCCTCCAGAGTTTGTGCCTGCCGGTCTGCCGTTGCCCAGTCGTCGATCCATCCTGTCGGCTTTCTTCGAAGATCTCCTTCTGCGCGCCGCGATCGGGACGAGGCCGACGAAACACATGTGGAAGAAGACAACGACGAGAAGCAGCACGACGACCAGGACCAGCAGAGGCAGCCTGTGCAGCAGGTCGGCCATGTAAGGGCCGTTCGAAGGGATGCACTGTGACGTCGGCGGTCGATCGTTCAACGAACAAGCCCGTCGACACAAGAAAGATCGGTGAAAGTTCTCTGCTCCAATGTGCGAGGAGTGACGACGATCGAAGAAAACGACGATCTTCTCCAATGAGACTGGCGTCGTCGAAAGGGCGCCCAGTGGGAAAAGAATTCAAATTTCGGACCGTTGTCGACGATCGCCCGCCGCAGCATCTGAACTTGACGCCGACCGGCATTTCGCGTCGACGGACGAAGGCCTCCCGACGCCGGTTACCGTTTGGAGCCGTTGGGGCGCCGTGCAGAATTTCGACGCAGGGATGTCCGTGCTCTGGTTCGCTGGACCACGTCTGGACCACCCTCGAACCGAATGCCCTCGCCGCTCCGAAATTCGCGCTTCCTTGTGCTACGGGGGACCTCGGGAGGTCCATTGGGGCTAAGGAAAAATTGGCTGTGGCCACAAGGACGCCACAAGGAAATCTCCTTTTGGTGTTTTCACTTTTTTTTTTGAGAATCTTCCCTGAGGACAGGTGGAACGATCATTTCCTTGTGGATTTCGGGTCCACAAGGAGTGACTAACGAGGCCCATAGTAATTGCAGGATCTACTACCTCATCCATGGAATATAATAGAGCAAATGATGGTATTGCAATGAACATTAGTATAATACTAGGAAAAATAGTCCAAATGATTTCTATAGTGGTTCCATGAACAATTCTCTCTGGAATTGGGTTCTTCTTATAATGAAAATGCCATAAAACACCAACCAACATCCATAACACGAAGATCAGAATCACCATCAAGAAAAAAAAAAAATCATGATGTAGGATAGGGGCCAGTGCAGAACGACAGTTTCCCGTCATGCAACTCGCCCCCCAAAACCTTACCCTTGTTTGTGGGCTCGGGAAGGGAAGCTGACAAACAGCTTCGCTTCGCGCCTTCCGACTCTTAATTGTCCGGAAAAAAAAAGCGAAGGCAGCTTTCTGGGTCTCTACTGACGCTGAGGTGCGAAAGCATGGGGAGCAAACAAGATTAGATAGATCCGGTTGGGCTCTAACAAAACACTACCAAAGGTGTCCCCTCTAATCGTAAGATGAGAGTGTGCATCCAGCTATATCGGGAAAACATTCATTTACATTACTTGGATGGATCAATCCCAAGGGAAGTCCTGTGTTGATTTGATAAATATTAGCAAGAGGATCCCTTAGAGACTATGAAAAAAAGTAGATAGAATATATGGAAACAAATGGGCTGCACAGAGGTCGCTTTCTTTATCAGGTCAACCAGCGTCCAAGCATACCGCTACCGATAGATAAGGAGGCCTTTCTTATCTTAAGAGAACGATGGTCAACTCTTCTTTAAGCACAACGTAAGCACATTCCACTGTGTCAGGCACGCCACAAAGGTTACTCAGGTTGGAGAGCCGTGTGATGGGCGACCATCTCGCACGGTTCGGAGAGCACTTGTTACGGCTGTTTCTTCAGCCCTTTTTTTATGTGTAGGTGCTTTATATGATCGACATAAAACCTGACTTGTTAAATATTATGGAGGTTTAGTCAGTACAATGCCTATGTTCTCTACTATTTTCCTGTTTTTTACTTAAGCCAATATTAGTCAGCCAGGCACTAGTAGCTTTATTGGTGAGTTTTTTATTTTAGTAGGCGCTTTTCAAGCTGCGCCTAACGTGGCAACACTAGCAGCCATTGGAATGATTTTAGGAGCAGCTTATTCCATTTGGCTAACTAGGCTTTCTCAAAAAAAAGAAAGAGCGTCAGAAATTAGAGGCGCCCATGTACAGGTGGTTTAACTGGCTGCAGGGGTGCATGCACATCCTGAAATGCCGGCGTGTTAATCTACACACCTTGCTCTCGCAGACTGGTGCTTTAAATCAGAAAGAAAAAAAGGAAACAGAGGACGGCAGCTTGCTAGCATAAGTTTTAATCTATTATAGTCCAGTGGGGCCTAGTCTGTTACAGTCCAGTGGGGCCTAGTCTATCACAGTCCAGTGGGGCCTACCGTCACCACCCGAATAGAACGCCCGGTAATTATCGCCGTATCTGGGCTGTTGTGCCAAATAGAGCTATAATGACCGGGCATTATATTCGGGTGAAGACGGTAGCCCATAGACTCCTCGGCAAACTTTTTCGATTGAAGCCAGCAGTTGTCAGGATGTGCCCTTCCTATTTATGGCTACTTAAAGATCATTCAGGTGTAGACCAGTGCACAATGTCTAAAGACAGGCAGGATAGATCTTCACTGGCCACGAGGTAGTCTGGTCGTAGCTTCGTCAAGGGACGCTGGACCCGGTTTCCAGCAGATGTTGCTCCCCACCAATAGATGGAGCTTTAAAAAAAAAAAAAAAAAAAAAGTCTGGTCGTAGCTTCGTCCCACTGTTCACGATAATTGAAGGGCAGTTGCAGAGCCCATAGAGCTGCCGAATTCACCCCGAGTAGAGTGCCCGGTAATTATTGCCGTATCTAGACTAAAATTTCCCCCGAATACAGCTATAATCACTGGGCCTTCTATTTGGGTGAAGACGGTAGCTAGCTAATAGCTATGCCGATGAGCGAAAGATTCTACAGCATGCCCATGCCTACATCTATGTCTCTAGGCATTATATCTGTCTCCGTCTATCTCTGTCCGACATCTCTCGTGATTGCGTTGGCTCATCGTTCCGGCACTATAGACAGCCAAGCCAGTGGAGTGGTATGAAGAGTGCGCGATTGCAGGCACAGAGGAGCTACTCAGTAGCATCTTGTTTTTTACTCTTTTTTTTCCGCCTCCGCAGAGTGGCTCCAGACTATTGGTGGGGACCTCGCCGCTGCTTGAAAAAGGTTCCAGCGTCCCTTATTGACAGTAGCATCCTGGTTATCTATTGCCTTTCCCGAAATAGAGCACAACATCATCACATCTGAGTCCATGGCAGTTGTGTGTGTTGATACGATGATGTGGCACAGATCACACACACACAGGCACTCTAGAGCATCTGACTGCAATGAATTGCAGTGGCATGCGGGCTGTACCATACTTGCAAGCGGAAGCCGTCCGCGCGGTTCCGCACGTGCGGTGAACCGCCGGACCGGACCCGCACGGCGCACGAATGTGCGCGCGACGACCAGTTACCCCCCCCCCCNCCCCCCCCAAAAAAAAAAGAAAAACCAGCCCCGTCCGGTCCGGGGGGAGGGTGCCGCACGCGGCAAAGCAGACCGGACCGGACGCTCGTCCGGTCCGTCCGCTTGCAAGTATGGGCTGTATACTAACTTCGTTCGATGTTGCCTGGTGTTGAGCTCTCCGGGTTCGATCCCGTGACCTGTTTTGTTTGCTGTGTTTTTTTTTTTTGTGTGTGTGAGAGCCCAACTGGGCTTGATCCCTAGGTCTGTTTGGAGTAGTCTCTGTAGGCTGGCTAGCTGTAATGCCACTAGGTCTCTCTGTTTTGTCCTTTATGCCCTTGAGTTGTAGGTGGTTTCTGTCCTGAGGCTCCCCTTTTGCCAATTTTAGGCCTAAATTCGGTCCTAGGCTATAGGCTGTCATTCCTAGGCTGTAGGCTGTTGACTCAGGGAAAACAGCAGTCTACAAAAGTGTCGAGGGCAAGGAAAAACAGGTAAACAGGTTTGGTCTCGTCATTTTTTTTTCTTTCCGTGAAGTGCTGCTGGAGGTCGTGTGCTGTTTGGGTGCTGCGTTATTTCACTTGCGGCATCATCTTCATGCTGCCAGGGGTGTTCTCCATGGCTGGGGCTTCCTGGCTCGTGTTGTGACTGCGCTGGGCATCAGGCCCTGAGCGCTGTGAGGCGCCTCTTCTTATCTGTGCTGTTGGGAATAGGCAGGGTCGCCATCGAAACCATTCTCTCACGTGTTTGTCGAAGTGGCAGCCATCTCCTTCTTCATCAAGCGGTGGTGTTCTTCTTCCTCGTCATGGGAGCTACCCTGCCCTGTTGAGCGGACACTTCATCTGCAGTGGGCATCAAGTTTGGACTGCTGAGTGGTGTGTCGGGTTCAGGAGGGTTGGTGGCGCTTGACAGGCTTGATAGGTTGGGCGCAGGCGTGTGCCATAGCTGTGCGTTTGAGGTTGGGGGAAAGAAGAAGTCTCCCTTACTTGTTGAAACTCTCTTCTTAGCTGGTATGTTGATTTAGCAAACCAATGCCTTCAGCCACTCAGCCATACCTCCCGGGAGAAACGGGATTTGAACCCGCGACTTCTGGCGTGACAGACCAGCGCTCTAACCAACTAAGCTATTTTCCCATCTGGGTAATAACGGACTTCGTGGATGTTAA